TTTCTCCATCTTCTTCGCTACATTTTCCTGTCTTCCTTCTACTAATTCTCTCGCCGGAGGGTTCACTGGGGGACTGCCCCGTTCCCCTTTGGACTTGCTTGCAGGTCATTTGACGGAACCACCACCCGAAACCAGAACCTGAAGAACCTGGGCCAGCTTGACCCATCCACCCGGGACGACCTGTATCATCAGTAATAATATTTTCTATGGAAAAAAAAAATTAGCGATCTTTAAAAAAAAATAATTTTATTTGCAGCTCATAATTTTAAATATCAAAAGCTTTTACTAATTTAAGAACTGAAAACAAAAATTTCAAAGTTCCAATCTTACTATAGTAAGCTACAATTTTTTAGAAATCTCTCATCAATGGAAACGAAACAGGTAAATACATCCAGCAAATTTCGTTTTCATTTTTATAATAGATTTCAAAACATAAAATTCAATAAGCATTGGGCATCAATTGCCCCGGCGCTACCTCCAGGCGATTTAGCACGTCAACCACCACTTGAGGCAGTGGCAGCCTCAGCCCCCCTTTTAGCGCCTCCTCGTACAGGGAAAATTCCCCTGGCCTCACAGTAGACGGCCTTTCCCCTGATGTTGGCAGCCGTAACTCTACCTCCGCCGGAATCTGGTACCGTCCCCTAATCACCTCCAAATCCGCCGCCGTGAGTGTGGATCTATCCGCCTTAGTGTGCCACTGATCTGGCTCTACCTGGCTTAGTGGCTGTGGCGCCAATACCAGGACCGACGCCTGCGATTCTCCCACCGTTTCCCCCACCATTCGCACCTCCGTCCTGTATTGCGCTGCTAACTCCTCCCCATCATCATCCCCCAAAGGGTCCACCCTCACATTAACTCCTTCTTCTTGTGCCATTTCTAGGGTTTACTTGCAACTCACTTCTGACGCAGGAACGAGGAAGTTCTGAAAATGCTAACACAGGTATGTCGTATGCAGTGAAGGAATTAACACTTGGATATTTTGGGTTTTTGTACACAGGTAGTTGAAACGCATTATACCAACACCCCACGGTTTACCCGTATTCCGTGGATCCGCATTAATTTTCGCCCGTTTCAAAACCTTTCAAATCAACCGCCAAAGCCGCCTTTTCAAAACCCCACTCGTGACCTATCGTTTCATTTCTGCTCCAACACTTCATTTCCCCCACGATATTACCATGTGTATGGCCACGATGCACTGTTCCTCCCTTTCCCCTATCTTTTCCATTTCAAATCATCACATGGCCCCAACCCACCCCCTCTCCTTTCGAACCCCGCGCCATCCTGGTCGGCACGCCTCTCGGTCGACCCTTCTCACTCGGCCCCCCTCGCGGTCGGCACACCTCTCGGTCGACCCTTCTCACTCGACCACCCTCGCGGTCGGCACACCTCTCGGTCGACCCTTCTCACTCGGCCACCCTCGCGGTCGGCATGCCTCTCAGTTGACCCGTCTCACTCGGCCACCCTCGCGGTCGGTACGCCTCTCGGTCGACCCTTCTCACTCGGCAACCCTCGTGGTCGGCACGCCTCTCTGTCGACCCGTCTCACTCGGCCACCCTCGCGGTCGATACGCCTCTTGGCCGACGCCTCCTGCTCGGCCACCCTCACGGTCAGCTATTCGGTTCGAATTTCTCTTCCTTATTACTATTCCCTTCGTTGGACTAAAGCTGCACTCGGAAATGGGGGACTACTGACATGGACTGACATGGACAGGCCCACGGGGCATACAGCCCATGGCAAACCGCCCCGAACCCATCACCTCGGACCCGTAGCATAACTTAATTGGCAAAGCCCAGGACAGCTGGAGTCCACCTGGACTGTATCACCCAAGGGCATTCGGACACATGACAGATGAGACACAGGCCACATCAGCAGACAAAGATCTGCAGAGTTATTGCCACAACACATCACCATTAATGCAGCCCATCACAGCATTTATTACGACAACACCTCCCCATCGGAACAGAGCCCCCTCACCCTGAACAAGGGGAACTACGGCACAGGCTTTCGGTGAAAAGGGGGGCACGTCACAAAGGACAGTGAAATGATTACCAAAGGATATAAGCAACAAGAGAAGCACAAGAATAAGGTTAAGTTTTTCATTTCTCCATCTTCTTCGCTACATTTTCCTGTCTTCCTTCTACTAATTCTCTCGCCGGAGGATTCACTGGGGGACTGCCCCGTTCCCCTTTGGACTTGCTTGCAGGTCATTTGACGGAATCACCACCCGAAACCAGAACCTGAAGAACCTGGGCCAGCCTGACCCATCCACTCGAGACGGCCTGTATCATCAAATACCATTAAAAATATTATTAGTTTTTTTTTTTTTAGTTTTAAAACTAAAAATATTATTAGTTTTTTCATTTTTAAAAGTTTTTTTTTTCTTTTTAGTTTTGTACACATGTTCTATTCTCATGTTCATTTATAAGTACAAAATTTTTAGTTTTGCACAAAAAAATAATTTAGTTTTTTCAATTTTGTCAAAAAAAATATTACTTTTTTTTTCACATAATTTTTTTTTTAGTTTTTCAATTTGAAAGTTAATATTTTAAAATTTTAAAAATCAAAATAAATGTCAAATCATTATATTCCTTTACAGATAATTATAAATAATGAACAATCATTGTTTAAAGGGCAATTTCGACTATCAGAAATTTAATGGGACTTGAAGGACTAAAAAATCTTAGGTAAGACTTAATAGAGTATAACTTCATAAATTAAAATTTGTGTGTAAATACAAAAAAAAAAAAAAAAAGTATTTCTATGTGAAAATTTCACTTACGTAGTTTTGAAAATTAATTATAAATAATTGGTAAATTTTATTAATATTAATAATTAAAAAATAAAATTCATAAATGTATAATTTTTCCTATTTCCCAATTTACTTGAAAAATTTAGGCGAAATCCCTCTATTTGATCCTTATTTGGTGAAAAAGACAGCATAATTTATTTTGTTTCATAAGTCCCCTAAGGGGAAAATACATAATTGACCAAAGACAAAGTAAAATATATATTTTTTTCTTTGGACAATATTGTCAGAGTAACATATTACTATCAAACAGAGTAATATGTTACTGTGAGACAGAGTAACATATTACTGTCAAACAGAATAACTGTTAAACAGAGTAACATGTTTATGTTATTGTTACTCTTTATATCAATTTCGATGATAAAAATAATAATTATTTTTTAAAAAAAGAATTTCATAGTCAATACGGATTGTATTTGATAGATCTTGATGAAAAGATTTTAAAAATACTAATTTTATTAAAAACCAACATTTATATCAAAAGTTATATTATTTTAAAGTTTAATATTTTAATAATAATGGTATGTATTGAATTTTTTAAGAAAAACTTTTTCTGAATGTCCTTAATGCATTAAAATTTTATTATGAGGGGGTTTCCTATTTATATCCCAATTTACTTTGTCCATTTATGAAATATTAATAGGGTGAAACACTAATAAATTTCAAAATGTGATTTTTTAAACTGTTTAATCCTTTAATTTTTTTTCATGAACTCAAAGGTCCTATTGAAATGGAAATTACATAGAATAGTAATCACTTGCACATTTGGGATTAATTTTTGAGGGATAAAAGTGAATTTTTCCAAATATAAAATTGCATATTTCGATAATTCGTACTATAGAGGTTTTGGATTTTCCCCATTCTAGAATAAATCTCACATTACAAATAAGAACGTAACACTCTAATGCAACACTCCAATAACGTAACACTCCAATATAGCACATTAGGAGGTTGTTTGGGATGATCTAAATAAGTGTACATTTTAACTTTTTACGAAAAGACGTGCAAAAAAGTAAAAATGTGACTCAAAAAAGATAAAAATATAAAAATGTGCCCTAATATAGCGGATGCCAAACAACTCTTAAAAAATCCTTTAGTGTATTTTTTCCAAACGTAACACTCCAATCAATATAATCCCAAAAGTAACACTCCAATGTAACATACAAAAACACTAAAAAAACTCTTATTGTACTTTTCCAAACGTAATACTCACAGTTTGAAATTATACATTTGTCAAAGCTTACTAAGAAATTTTGTACTCCTTTTGGAATGGTTTGAAGAATCCTACATATTTTATTGGTGTGTTACGTTTGAAAAAAATACATTTAAGAGTTTTTTTGTGTGTTACATTGGAGTGTTACGTTTGAGTGTTAAATTGGAGTGTTATAGTTTGACATTATACACTTGTCCAAAACTTACTAATGAGTTTTCGTACTTCTTTTGAAATTTTGAAAAATATCAAATCCTTTTGGATTGTTTGAAAAATCCCATATTTTAAGTCATTTTTATACTCCTTTTAGAATGTTTGAAGAATCTGACATTTCATATCATTCCAAATAAAAAAGATCATCATATAAAAATTCGTCACAAATTTTATCCTCATAGGTTGTGTATCTTACTGTTACATCGCCCGGGGGTACCTATATATGGTAAATAGTTTGGACCCTCGATTTATTTGATCTAGTCTCACGAGGGTAATATGAAACATAGATAAGAGTCCAAATCCGACAACTTTTTATAAAAAATCCATTTTATCGCCAAAGATAGTCTGCGTCATCAGATCTCATAGTCGCTACCTAATATTTTGGGAAATTAGGAAACCCGTGACTCGTGCTAAAGTCCCTGTTCGTCGTAACCAAAGATGTCTCAGTTCAGAACCTTAGATATGAGAGAGGAAGATCTTTAATTGAGCATCCTCGCTCACCCAATCAAATATTGGCTTTTATTAAACCATGATATGAGTTTTATTTACTTTATATGTTCATATTCCAATTTATTTAATAAATCCTAAAATTTACTATATGAAAGTAAGCAAGTATAGATTGTGTCATTCATTTTGGAACAACTTGATTTCATGTGTTTTGAAAAAGTTTTAAGAATGTGCAACTCAATAGAAATTGAGTTTACAAATATGAAAATCGATATTATTCCAAATTGAACAATACAACCTCCATCCACTGGCATTCATAGAGATATATCAAACAAGCAAGTAGCCACATGGTAGGATGCTAAACATGGTAATAAAAACACATACAAGCGGGATGCAAAGCATAAAAATTTATATATTTACCGATGTCCCGCAAACAGTTACAAAACAAAGTTAGTAAAATATGCATGATCTTATATATAAAATCCTAATACAATTCACTCATGAAATGCAATTAAAAATTCGGCTTCTAACATATGACATGTGAATCATCTCAAGAATATGAGGTAGCACACATAATTATATAGAAATTGATTAAATCCATAAATGCAAATTTAGCCGAATCAAGATGCATGAAATATAGATACAAAGCATGGATATGATATATATTTACAAATAAGAAAAGCAAGTAAAAGAACGGGATAGCAAGAATGGGGCAAGGAGGGAAATTATTACAACACTTGAATAATTACATATCCAAATAAGGGATGAGAGGAAGAAAATATTACAACAAAATAAAACCTCACAAATCTCTCAACTTAAAAGAAAGACAAAAACTTCATGTGCCTCGGAGACTGCCAGAAACTGTTATGCTCATCATTGGAAGACTACTTTGTTCTATCCCAGAAGAAGTTGGCCGACCGGCCAATTAGGCTTGGCAAAAACTGTTTTGTTGCAACTCCGAAACAGAACAAACAAGGGATATGTATGTAGCTCAACTAATCACTTCTAGTTAGCTTACAACAGTTTATAATATGCAATCAAAGTCAAAAAATTAACATAAGAAAGAAAGTACAAGAAAATGAAAAAGATTGAAAATTCACCTTCCAAAGAAAATGATGAATTTCTTGATTTCCAAACTTCCTTTTGATCACCCTCAAGGTTGTGAATTATGTTCTCGATCCTCAATTCGAAAACTTGAAATTTTAGCTATAATGGTGTTTTGGGATTGTTTAACAATATGTGTGGTGGAAAATGGTTAACTCACTGATTTTCTCAAACTTGACAAAGATTACTCTTTCTTTAATCAAAGCTCTAGAATTTGATTATAATGAGTTTTTGGATGGTTTTGGTAATGAAAGATGAGCCATAATAGTGTATAGGTACAAGAAGGGAAGTTTTGGCCAACTCTCAACTCAAGCCAGACTTTTTCTTTTATCCTATCCTCTTTACCCCTTTCAACAATCTAATCTCTTGTGTAGGCAATGGTGGAAGACTTAGTCAAAAAGATGGTGGGAGATAAGTGAAAGACAACAATGGAGGACAAACCATAATGATAAATAAAGAGAGATGATGGGTTATTGCTTTAACTCTCTCTTTTTTAAAGGGGCAAGCCCTTTAGGCAATGGAGGCTGAGTGTGTATGCATTTTGTGCATGAATGCATCAGAAGTATCTAAGGTGGCATGTCCTACATGCATTAAACAAGAATTATTCTAAAATTGCCCTGTTCCTGGACAAATTAGTCGACCGGCCAAAAAGTTGGATGGCCAGCCAATGAATTAGTTGGTCAACCAAAAAAGTTGGCCAGATGGCAAAAATATTGGCCTTGGCTTGACTATTTTGCATGAAATAGGATTTTTCGACAAAATTATCACCCTTTCCTCATATTTCCACTATGTTCTTTGCTCATTTCCTAAGAAAATATTTTATTTCAAAGTTTAAAAATGAGCCTCGGTACACTACGGAAATGCTCAGAACAAAGCGCGGACAGAAAGTTTTGAAAGAGAGTTTTGAATGGGTTTCAAGTACTTAGCCAAAACAGGCTTAGGATTGGGAATAAAGCTCGAATTCCATCTTTCTTAATGAGGATGCTATGAGAAACACATTCTTGTTTTTATCATCGAGTAATAAAAAAAAAGCGCCCAAGTCTTAAGGTTGGTCAAAATAGGGTGTCTACACTTACCGTTCTAGCACAAAAGAAAAGGGAAAAAAAAAAAAAAAAAAAAAAAAAAAAACTGCAATATAATTTTTAAAATTACCTATTTTTTGCGACAGTGTGGTGCCGTTGCAATAAATAAATAAATAAATGTAATATAATTATTAAAAATATTAAAATTACCTGTATTAAATGAAAAACAATTGAAAAAGAAATCAACAATTGCATAATAATATAAAAATTCTTGTATAAAAAAATAATTTCTCCATAATAAAAATATTCTTGCATTCATAACTACACATCAACAAAATTATCCCACTACATAATGTTCCATAATACATATATAATGTTTAAATACATAATGTTCTTCGTAATTCAAAATAACATAAACCAAAATTACAAGTTTTGCTCATCATTCTCCGTGGGTAGCAAAAACAAAAATTAGTCATATTCGTCACAAACATGCATTCCATAAGAAGCAAAACTCCTACTTGGGAAATATCTAAAAACAAAAAATAAATATAACTAATGACAACATAATTATGTGTTAATTACAAAAAGACATAAAAATGTGACTACTATACAATTACAAAGATAATTAAGTAAATAATTTTGCCTAGACCGAAATCCGGCTCTAACTCCCAAACCGGGAACCCGATTCGAGTCTCGTCTTCTCGCACAAGTCTCTCATGCCTAGGCGGTTGTGTGTGCCAACTTTCGTGCTACTCCGACGCTGTTTGGTGATTTTCATGATTTTGGGACATCTTTCATGGCATAATTTTACATGTCGTAGAAGGTTATTTTTAATATATTTATGACATACTATGTATGCCGTAAATAATCTTTTACGACATAGAGAGAGAGAGAGAGAGAAGCATATTCAAAGTTCATTACGTGAGTAAACTCAATATATAAACACATGATATTCAAAGCATATTCAACATATGTAGCTCGACCAAATGATGCATTTTCTTCAAATGGGCATAAGAAGTAGGATTAAATTATCATTGATGATTTCCTCCAAGTAAAAAACCTATCATTTATAATAAGAAAACAAACATACAAAGTGCATACTTGGAAGAACCACCAAAAAGATCAGTTCTATGTAGAATACAATCAATTTATTTCATGTCTATTATGACAATATATCCAATCAATTTACACAACAAACAGATTATATTACTCAAATTATCTGACTATTCAACTTCTCATAGCATGAAACATCCTTGCATTTTGGTGTTAAATCATCTTCACAAATGTGTATGTACAAACATTGCTTCCATATATATCGGGATGATTCAATGATAGGGCCAACACACAAAGCAATAAATCTTAACTAGGTGCATTTGTTGACCACCCTATATCCCGATAGAAGTGAATCAGATGGAGGATGAGGACCAACTGATCAAGCTTTTGGATAAAAATTTACAATTGAAAAATAATGTATTTAAATTGATTTTCTTAATCATCTTAATCCATAACTGGTGGGATTTCCATCTTTGTAATCTATTGATGACAAAATTTAATGTGCATCAGATTACCGAAGTTACTGTTTGAAAATGAATATAACACATGCCTCCATGAAGATTCAGAGCTTTGTTGGAAATAGTTGGCACAATTTTTTCATTACTCCAAAGTTGAGACAGCATACATTGCAATTTGTTGAAAACACTAACCATGAATGAAGTCCACAGCTTGGCATATATCACTCAGTGACGGAGCAAAGAGGTAGTCTCTTGGTGGAAGCACCAAATGATTAATACCATAAGCCTGTAACAAATTACCATAATAAGAAATAAATGGAAGAGCTCGATGAATAACTTGCACTACAGTGAAATATGGTTGAAGGATGTTAATAAACATGGTGTTAAAAAAATATGACGTAAAATAGTTTATGCATTTCAATAACATTCATATGTTGAACCACTAATCAAAAAAATAAAACATAAATAAAAACCATCTCCCTCAAACTTATTTGGTAAAGCTCACATTCCAACAAATCAGAAATACCCAACAAGATTCCGGACAGAGTGAAAAGCCAAAAAGAATTACTTTCTCAAATAAGTCTGGGAATGAATGCACTTCAGAAGCAACCTTTAATTATTGCACTTAGTAAAATAAATAAATGCACTTCAGATAACAAAGCTACAACTCACCAGGGTGTCCTTAGATGAAATCATGATTACCTAAATAAATCACCATAAAACTATAACTGACCTGTTTTTTAACCCCCAAAATCAAAGTAAACCCCAAATGCACCATCAAGAACGCACAAATCACTACTAAACAAACTAGCAATTATAAATTTATATATACTAACCAAGACAAACAGGGCAAGTAGGCAATTCAACGAATCCAGGCAGAGGTGAACAGGCTTCTTCTGCCAACTCATAGCTCTCCGCTGATTGAGCAAAATATATATGACAGATCTCAGCCTAACAAATCAAGCATAAAAATCTCAAATTAAAAATACTAGTAAAAGATAGCATTAAACCTTTTAAATCTAACTAATATATATACTACTATATAATGCGCACAACTTATAAGGGTTTGAAGGTTTGTAACTTATTTTTTCCCCCAAAAAATGCTCAATATTGTTAACTGCTTCAAAAAATAACTGCTACGATTTATCAAATTCAACCCATATTCTTCATACATCAAATCATCAAAAAATTAGAATGTAAAATTACAGTGAAATTACAAATGCATACTAATATATAAAGCACACTACTCATAAGGATTTAAATTAAAAAATACCCATATTATTAACTTTTTCAAAAAAAAAAAAAAAATTAACAGCTAGCCATTCTCAAATTCAACGCATCTTCATTCACCAAATCATCAAAAAAATAAAAATTGAAGAGCTTGGGGGTGGATACCGGAGTAGAGTTCGGAGAAGTGGTCGAGGTGAGATCCACAAAAGAGGAGGAAGTCGTCGGGAGAGAGGTGGTGGGGGACAGCGACGACGAAGAGTTTGGTGGATTGAGCGCTAGGGCTCGTGAGAGAAGTGGTGGAGGAGGGGGATTGGCTGCTTAAGAAGTGGACTATGCCATTGAGTTCGGTTATAGAGAGGTGGTTGCTAGGCTTTGCGGCAGAGCTGCTGGTAATGGCGGATGAGGAGAAGGGGCGGCGCGTGTCAATGAGTGGATTTAGAGGATGAACATTCTTAGGGTTAGGATTAATAGCCTACATGTAGAGATTGACATTCGTAGAGTGAATCGATCAATGAACCCTTACTGCGAAGGATCTAGAAATATAATAAAATGAATCAA